TTGTAATACATTCATTATTACTAGATTATTACCAAACTCCTTATATGGAAGATGCCATTAGGTATATTGAATTTTTGGGGAGAGTCTTGTCAACTGCCGCAAAATATTAGGTGCTCTCCATTTTTTTAATTTCCGTTAAACTTTACCAGCAGTTTGTTCGCAACGTATAATATTTCATTTTTTAACATGAAAAATAGCTACCCCCGCGATTCAGGAGAGAAAGCGTAGTGGCAGCTGTTTACGTTTCCCTGTATACTGAAGTTAGAACAAGTTTGTATAAAAGAAACTGGTTCAGCACACGATACATATTTAATATCAGTCGCTGAGCGCTAAGCGGCTTGATGATGTTATCAAGTTTAAAGTAAATAGGTGCATAGCGGTGTTCTACATACTCTCTATCAATTAGTCTGTGTATAATGGTCTTTAGATTAAGGAAGTTTCGCTGATGTGTAACCGGGAGTCATGTCAGGAAAACTGCTGGGTAGAAACTGGATTTGAGTTTGGAATTGCATCAATGTATCATCCTTTTGAGATGGGCGCTGTAGCATCTGAAAGAGCAATGTTGCTAGTTGGACGGTAACTACCGGTAAGGCAGTAGGGAGTAAGCAAAAATGTACTAATTGTATGGGCCTGTTTGAGTGACTTGATCCATTTAACTCCTTTCTTGTAGATGTGCGTAGCGACGTTTTTCTCGGAGGGTTCAGCTTGTGCTGAACTTATGACAACATTGCATAGGAAGTGCAGAGTCTTGATGCCATTTTTGTGGATATGAACGTTTCCTTGAGTTTTTATCTAGATAAAATAACAAAGGTGGATGACTGAGTAGCCACGTATGTTATGGGGTCGGCACAATGGGTCAAGGGATCGCGGGTTCGAATCTCGAAAGTTTGCCACAGACAAGGATGTTTGTCCATATATTTACGCAGCAGTGCCGTGCAAAACCAAATAGATATGTCGCATTGTTGGAGCTGGCTTATTCAGTCATCAGTTACCTTTACAAGGTTGATACATAGGGGTAGTAAAAGAAGGTGGAAGGCGACCTAGTAGCCGGGCTTTCCTTCGTCACCAATATGAGTGGAACTTAGACAAAGCATGGAGATAACCTTTTGGTAATGTAAAAACTAATCCCAGAACACACTAATTTGACATACACAGAAATTAAATGCATAGTTGTAAATTTTTGCCGATCAAGGGTGGGCACAAAATTTAATCAGGAAAATGATTATCACACAAATACTTACTTAGATAAATCCCTCGGTAGAATACGTACGCCGCCCAAATAATCAATTTTTATTCGTAAACTTTCCTGAAAACGGCAAAGCGCAAAAGTTGGATATAGAGGTGAAAGCATGAAGTTTCGAAAACAGAATGCTGACACCGTCACGCAGTGGAATGGCACTCTGAGAAAATATATGCACATACATTGTACATCTCAAAACAAGATCAATAAAATATTATCTCCTGGGGAGTTGAAGAATGGATCGTGGCGACAACGAATTCCCAGATTGTTATAAATTGATGCAGAATATGGGATCGGCTTGGAGAAAATGTGACAGAAAGTTTGCTTTTGCACAACATGGGCGTCCGGTATACAAAATTATCAGTCTATAATTTGGTACAGATTGTAGTCAAGAATAGCACACAAGCTACTTTTTCTCTGAAAATAACTTTGAAATGTCTATTTCTCGAGCTACAGCCCAAACGGCTTAATTGAATTTGTCTGGCGCGGAAGCGTTCAGTCGCTGGTCTGACCAAAATAAGTAAGGGTACATATATAAATAGGACAGCCGCATCATACGTTTACCGCATTTCAGCATTCGTCTTATTAGCGTGATCGTCTTGATTTAGATAGATAAATACTCGTAGATGGTCTATTATATTGACATCATAGTTGATATACGACTCGTCAGATGTACCTATATAAGTACGCCATTATTACAAAAAATTAATAATATGATTTAGTATAAATTTTCCAAGAAAGTAGCGGTTGAAATAGAAACAATCACAACTAGTTGAAAAAAGACAAAAGACGCACGTACACTAAACAAACAGATACAACAGTCAACGGAACAAGATGTATACAGATTAAGGAATAACAACAAAAGATAATTGGTGAACGAACAAAAGCGTCAGAACACCAAAAAATATATACACAGCTTTTTTAGTCTCTTATTTGATTAAAGTATCGATCAATAAATACGGAATTGTTTGTTTTTGATTTATTAGGTTTACTTTAAGTACATTCTGTTATTAAATTAGTTGTGTGCTTTGCATGCTATTTGTAATTAAATTGTAATTAGATTAGTCACAGTTATCAGCTTAGATTTGTTACAACTTGTGTATTTTATTATTACTTGGTAGTTATCAAAATATCAGGAAAACGCGTAACTAATTTTTGATAGACGAGTGATGTGTTCTTCCGTACCGTACTCAACATCATTTTTCTGACTATTGGTTAAATATCAACCCATTTTCCCTCGCGTAACTGCAAGGCAAACTTGTCAGCAGTGAGCCTCTTACCGAGCGTCAGTTTTAGCTATGCATGATATTTCAACCGACCTACCACATTATATTAAGAGATTAGGGATATCCAAGTCTTCATTGCAATATACGCAATTCGTGTACTCTCTCTTTCCTACACTCTTCAGGGAGCTGGTAAAACAATTATGTCCTGTGAGGAACCGTACAGTATAGTATTCTATCCCCACCGCTCCCTTGTCAATGCAAGTTTTAATATCTGGAGTCAGCCTTCTGGTCCATGCACGATGGCCAGTTGCATCCCATCTCTCCTGCCGTCTGACAACGAAGGAGCACCTCTCTTTCGTCCCTTGTAGCTCCGACGCCCTTTTTATAGAGTGCGCATCCCTCCGCTGCCAGCAAATCAATTGCCGGGATACCAGCTACCACCAACAGTGCATCGGTCGACACAAATCTGTAGGCGCATACCACGCGCGACACTACTTTTCGCTGGCTTCTCAGTGTTAGCTGTCTATATTCCATTTTCCGCAATGCCTTGCTATATATAGGAGCTTCGTACAACATAATCGAATTTGACACCCCTGTAAAAATCCTGCGCCTCTCACTGCTGGGGCCTCCGTCAGATGGCACTAGCCGGAGCAGAGATGCAACTCCCTTATTTACCTTGTCAGTGGTCGGCCTTATATGTTCAATCATTTTCAGATCTATGACAAATCATACACCCAGATATCTAATTGCATTTTGGCTCCGAATCTCTGAAATATCAACCTTCACAGCTAATGAAGTTAACTTCTGTCTGCCAAAAACTACTACTTGTGTCTTCTCAGGAGCCATTTTCTTCCATCCATGTGGTAGTTCCTGTGATTCAGTATGCCAAGAGTTCTTTACGTCCATCTCTCTCCTTGCTGGTCACTATCATCGCAAGGTCGTCACTATACCTTATCACGCGAATTCCCGGCAGCATCTGTAACCGATCAACTCCCAAATCAACGTCCTTAGGACAGAACACTGCGGTTCTCCCACCGTTACCTTCATCGACTTTTACCTTATCATAAGTGACCTTTCTTCAAAGTAGTTATTCATTTTGCTCAATAGATAACCAGGGATATCTAGCTTCTCGAGAGGTTCAAGTATTTTCTGCCATTGTGCCATGTTATAGGCATTCTTATCGTCAAAAGCAACCATAATGCAAAGCTTCTTATTACTGTAACTGCCGCTATTCGCTACTTTCGCCAGCTGTGCCACTGCACCTATGGCAGACCCTTCGCGTTTCTAGAACCACATTGCGAGGGAGACAGTCCGTTCTCTTTTTTGGCATATTTTCTTAGCCTACCTTCTATCAGTCGTTTTAGTAGCTTCGAAGTGAACTCGGCACACACTATATTTGACTACCCCGTCGGTGGGTTTCCACCTCTTCGGAAAGACTCTTGTTCTCAACCATTCATTCCTTGCAGACAGCACGATGTCGGGTATCTCTTTAAACAGCGCTTTCACGATCTCATTTGGTATTTCATATAGTCCTGGTGCCTTACCTGTTTACTTCTGCAATTTTCATTTGTTGTTCAGTATCCAGGTACGGTCTGTCTGTGAGTTTTAGCTTTTCCTTAGGTATTTTGTATGCTGCCCCCAAAAGTCGTTTAATGAGTCTTTCCAGATCCTCTGTTTAGAATTCATCATGAGTTTTGCTAGTTCTTTTTTGGCATATTAATGTTGTTTTTTATACTCAAGCATCAGATACGTCTGATAGTTAGGCTTTCTTTTCTCTTCTGTGCTATCTCATTACTTTACCGATACCTTACTTTAGCATTTTCTCGAATAACGTGTTAAGCCAACCCCGTGAGTGACACATTTGTTCAGTTGTCGAGTTATGCTTCGGAGAAGATGATGTTAGCCTCCTTGAGGTATGTCATTCCATGCTTTTAAGCTCTGCTTGCGCTTGTGGAGGATGAGGTAGAAGGGTCACTCCTTCTTCTAATATATCCCACACATGTTGAAGGGGCGAGAGGTTTGCTGATCTAGAAACTCAAGGAAGAAGGTTGACTGAAGTGTTATTGAGGCATTCTACTATAGCTTCGGGAATATGAGGCTACCCATTATCTTGTTGGAAAATAAGGTAGCCAGGCAATTGCAGTAATGTCAAAAACGAGGCTCCAGTATTTCCTAGAATTATCTTTGCGTCATTATACCATCTCTAATGGAAACTATAGGTGATAGCACCATAACCATAACTGACACAGTATGGGTGTACGTGATGTTCAACTTAAGACAAACATGACGTCTCCCTCCGCGTCGTCGTCTTTCGACTCATATCCGACCATCGTGCATTCCAAAGCAGAACTGAAGCTAATCACTAAAAACAATGTTTGACCACTCATCTCAATTCTTCTCGGTCTCAGTTCTGTTCAGAGGTGCACAATGGACGGATATCTGTTAGAAGGCACCGCGGATAAAGATGTGATGTAGGGACGCCTATAGTTTCCATTTATGGCGACACAACGGTATATCCAGGAAACGCAGGAGCCTCATCTTTCTTCATCAAATAAACCGAACATAATTCTGAAAGATAAGAGACAAAAGTTGTGCCTACTAATAGATGTTGTCGTCAGATCGAGCTTCAACAGCTGTGGAATTTTAAAACGAAGAGCATACCTATCATAATTGGAACAAGAGGGATAATTTCCAAAGCAACCTCCAAAGCAATCAAATTCCCAGGGAAGCACAACATTATCAGCATGCAGAAGGTAATAGTATTCATTGCCGCACATATAATACGTAAAGCATTATGATAGGTAGCTACGAGGGATGTCTTTTAAGTTTTGCATATAGAAACATAGTAGGCCGCGCGGATCGAACGTCAGTACTGAATCATAACCTCACTCTTTAGTAAACCTAAATTCAAGGTTTCACAATACTGTGTTCTCACTACAGTGAATTTTTAAGTGTCACCAAGTCATTAGAAAAATAGAACTCAACCAAGAACATTTTCGCGCCATAATTTATTACAACTTTCAGAGACAATTATCGCAACAAGAATACCTTGTTGAGTTACTGTCTGTTTTCGGCAACGAATCGCCACATCTGTCGACAATCTCCCGTTGGTATGGAGAATTCAAACGTGGACGGGTTAGTCTTAGCGACGATTCCAGGCTGGGTCCACCAAAAACGGCAGTCACCCAGGAAAACGTCGATGCTGTGCGCAAACTCATCACTGAAGATAGACATGTGACATATCGGAGTGAGGCGTCCTTGAAGATATCAAATACCTCAATTTAAAAAATTTTACATGAAGAACTAGGAGTAAGAAAATTACTTTCTTGTTGGATACTGGTAATATTACTGGTAATAATGATGTTTTTTTCGTCTTTTACAAATAATAATTGCGGTAGAGGTGCTCGCATAAGATCATTGCTGCTCCGAGTTTGTTAAACAAGGTCTACAGGATCTCTGCCTTTGTGTTGGTCTATTACTATACTGTACAAGCGGATTTGTCTTATATCAAAAAGTCCGGTTTCCAAATTAATACAAATGCTTGGTTCAAAATGTCATATTTTTATTGTCTCTGTTATTAATTTTTGTATTTCTTCTGAAGGGTCTATATGATTTTTATTAGCAGCCCCATACTTTGATTCCATAACTTATATGGCTTTCTATTAAGGCGTGATATAGCGTTGGTCTTCTAGATTTACAGACATTTCACCCATTGAATAGGTGTGGGATATGACGGGAAGAGTAGTGACCTTACTTCATGGTCTTCAACAGCACTAGTAGCTGTTCGAAACCAAATAGAGCTAGCTTGGGAGGAGACACCCAAGGACATAGGTCTCCTTCTCAGAAACACGAATGCATACGGTATCAGGGTGGTTCAGCACATTATTAAGAAAATCCAACCGTATAACAAATTTTTTCTCTTCAAATTTAATCACAAATTTCTTTAACTTATCAATACAATTTCACAAAAATCAAATCATTTTTACCGGATATTCTATATTCTGTATCACTATTATACCACTGAAGCATTCTAGTAAGCTTCCCCGCTTTAATTCCCAAGTTCTTGCCCATCTAAAACCAATAGTCTAATCATATTAGAAGAAAATACCCCTGAATTGCGGAATAATTGTTTTATTGCTGCAAGTTGTTCAAGGGGGTATTCAAAACGTGGATGCATAAAATGGGTACACATTTTTTTATGTGAAAACTTTTTATTTGACTACAAAAAATGAGAAAACATGTTCTTTGAGATTCAATTGAAAGTGTTGGCAGGAATGAAAAAACGCTGTATATAAGATTTTTAGGTATTTATGAGACCTACAAAGTGAGACCACATGTGAAAAGATCCGAATAATAGCAAAAAAGTTATGCCCGAAAACCGAGGCATACTGCAAGTTGTGGCACTTGTTGGTAATGCAACGATATTTTCTCGCAAATGTTTGAAATTTTTCAAATTCGTAGGATTCGTACTTCTAAATAACCGCAACAAAATTGGAGTAGATTGGTCAAGTGGTTTTTAAAAATTTCTAATTGCTTATCCCAAAACACCTGTTTTTCATCTATCACTACTAGTTTATTGAGCAATATACAGGGTTAGTGCATAGGGCATTTTATAGCAAAATACACTAGTTTACCTTGCCGATATGAATCGCAAACCATTCTGGAAGATAAGTGTTATTTTTATGCAAAAAAGTGTGGGTCACGTTTTTTCTTCTGAACAAATTCGAGCATTTTGTATTTGTGAGTAATTCAAATATAGATGACATACACATCCGCTTTGGTTTAAAATGTGTATAGTAGCGTAAGTTTTTTGAATATCGTAGCGCATTTGTTCAATTACTCACAAATTCGAAATGTTTGAATTTGTTTAGAAGAAAGAAAACGTAACTTTTGTTTTTCGCATAAAAATAACATTTGTCTTTCGAAATGGTTTGTGATTCATATCGGCAAGGTAGAAACGTGTATTGTGCTATTTAATGATATTTGAACGATTTGCTCAATAAACTATTAGTGATGGCCGGAAAACAGGTGTTTTGAGATAAACAATTAGAAATTCTCAATACCAATATACTCCAATTTTGTTGTTGTTATCTAGAAGTGTGAATCTCACTGATTTAAAGAATTTCAAGTAGTTGCGTGAAATTATTGGCGCATTACCAACAAGTGCCAAAACTTGCATTTTGCCTCGTTTTTCGGCCATAACATTTTTGATGTTAGTCGGATCTTTCCACGTGTGGTCTCATTTTGTAGGCCTCATAAATATCTCAAAACCTTAAATAAATAGTTTTTTCGTTTCTGTCAACACTTTAGATTAAATCCCAATAAACACGTTTTCTCATTATTTGTTGTCAAATGAAAGGTTTTCCCACAAAAATTGGTGTACCCATTTTATGCGTCCATGTTTTACATACCCCGTTGAATAACTTGTACCAATAGAACCGGACTTTACAATTATTTCGGAGAAATTTGCTAATATGATTAGACTAATAGCATAGTAGTTATCAATGGTTCAGTTAACCTTGAGACGTCTGCTTTAAATTTCACATATAGCACCATATGAGGAAGAGTTCTGTTACTTAATGATTTGCAGTAACATCCATATCAGTCAAGATAAATGTACTAAACCATATATAGTAGGTATTCGTGTGCAGCATCTGGATATAAACGCCTCCAGATATTATTATCAGACAATAATCAGGTAATTAATTGACCTATAGCCGAGAGCCAGCAAGCTGTTTGCATTTGCGTTGATATTACTAATGCCCGCTACATACGTAACGATATATCGTAGCGATTTCAGACTGTGCAGTTAAATCGAAATACCCTAGCGTCTCCACACGCCACCGATATCTGCGTCGATCTTCAGTTCTCCGCAGAAGCTCGCGCAAGAAACATGTCATCCATGATGGAAGATGATGACGCACTTGCGTTATTGGGCCTGGTTATGTTTTTAAAGAAAAAAAAGTCGCGGAGTGTGTGGTGCAAAGACTAAGCTTTGATTATTTCTTGATTGCGTATTCGGATAAATAGACTTGCTATGGAAAACGTACCTTAATATCAAAAATGCATAAATGTATTTAGCATGTAATAATCACACAATACCTATTGGAATATGTAACAATAAACAATAAATAATTTCTGAGAAATAAAGCCTACCCCATTTTCGTCCTCATCCATGTTCGATATCGATGGTCTCGGTACTTCTTGATCGTATAAAAAACTTAGCAACTCGAAGTACCATAAGTGAGGAGTATAAATCTCGTCAGTTCCTGCTCCGGATTTATGCGATTTTTTTATTTTATTAAGCTCTTTTTTATATGCAGTTCTAAGATTATTAATCTTCTTAACCACTATGTCCCTGTTGGCATTTGGATCAATGTTTTTGTATTTTTCGACCAGTCTGTGGTAGGCGGCATTTTTTTTGTTGCGATCATGGTACCTACTCCTTAGATTTTGTCTGCCAAAGGCAAGTTTCGCGTCTGTAGCTTGTGACGAACTGAACGGCCGTCATCCACACGCGACGATAAAACTGTGCAAACGCGATCGACAACGATTTATCTTATAGAAATTGTAACTGCCGCTATGAACGATAAATCTGCAACGATTTTTCATACACACGATCGATAAATCTGCGCAAATCGGTTTGCACAGATGAATCGCTACGATATATCGTTACGTATGTAGCGGGCATAAGGTGCTGTCCACCATGTATGTGTGTACGCCCGCTGTTTGGAAATATGTCCCTATTTGCATTGACGCATCACATATAGGAGGTCCAACACTATCTAAAAGTATCTTTGCATCACGTTCCTGCTCAGCAACATGTTGTCCGTCATATACTGGCGGATGTCCCAAAAATTTGCCACATAATTTGTCACATAAAGGACGTTTAAAAAGGCGCCAACCCTCCTCCTAGCTCATGGCATTACCGCTCAATAAAAAAAAAATGTTCACACAAAAGTTCCAGGGTTTGAAAGCACAATTTAGTGGTGACTTTGTCAACAACCATAAAAACGACCTTCATGGCCATTTAGCGGTCAACCTGAAGATTTCTAGTGGGACTATAGTCCAATCATAGTAGCAAATTTGCTCGAAATCGTTGTAAAGTCTGGCTCTATTTGTGCAAGTTGCTCAAAACATGGACGCAGAAAATGGGTACAGCACTTTTTGTGGGAATACTACTACTACTACTTTGACAACAAAGAATAAGAATACGTATAGGATTCAACCGAAACTGTTGACAGGAACATAAAAACTTTTCATATAAGATTTTTAGGTATCAATGTGTCCTACAAAACGAGACCACACGTAAAAAGATGTGATTAGTAACAAAAATGTTATGGCCGAAAACGAGGCAAAATGCAGGTTTTGGCACTAGTTGGTAGTGCGACGATAACGTCACGCAACTACTTGAAATTCTTCAAATTCTTAGGACTCATACTTCTATATAATAACAACAAAATTGGATTATATTTGTGAAGTACTTTTTTGAAAATGTCTAATTGTTTATGCCAAAATACCTATTTTCCGATCATCACTACTAGTTTATTGTGCATTATACAGGATTCGTTCAAAGAGCACTTAATAGCAAAAACATGTGTTTATCTTGCCGATATGAATCACAAACCATTCCGAAAGATAAATGTTAGTTTTATGCGAAAAACGAAGGTTGCGGTTTTTTCTCCTAGAAAAATTCAAATATTTCGTATTTGTAAGTAATTGTACGGTATTCGAAAAATATGAGGCTTGTCCGTAAAATAAGTTCCACAAACAAAGGAGCAATCGAAGCAGTGGAAGCACTCTTCTTCACCAAGAGCAAAGAAGTTCAAACAAATCCTGTCTGCCGGGAAAATCATGGCTAGCGTTTTTTGGGATCGAAAGGGCGTATTGTTGTGCCAGTTTATGCCTCGCGGGACAACAATCAATGCTGACCGGTACTGTGAGACCTTGAAAAAACTTTGACGTGCCATTCAGAACAAGAGAAGAGGAATGCTGACGAAAGGAGTGCGTTTTCACCATGACAATGCCCGACCGCACACCGCCAATCAAACCACAGCCCTCATCGAAAGATTTGGATGGAAAATGGTGTCTCACCCACCCTACAGCCCAGACTTAGCACCAAGTGACTTCCATCTCTTCCCTGAGTTGAAGAAAAACCTTGGCGGAACCCAATTCCAGACAGATGAAGAGGTGCAAAACGCGGCTGTTAGTTTTCTACACGGACAGGCGGCAGAGTTCTATGACTCTGGTTTGAAGAAGTGGGTGCCTCGAAGGCAGAGATGCATAGAACGCAACGGCGATTATGTAGAAAAATAAAAGAAAGACTGAACTTTCCAAAAATGTATTTTCTTTGCAATTAAACCAATTTTTTGATATGAAAAAAATTTGTGGAACTTATTTTACGGACACGCTACATTACTATACAAATGTTAAAACCAAGCAGATTGTTACCTTTTGTTGCGAATTCTTCACAAATACGAGATGCTTGAATTTGTTTAGAAGAAAAAACGTAGCCCATCCTTTTTTGCATAAAAATAACATCTATCTTCGGGAACGGTTTGCGATTCATACCGGCATGGTAAACTAGTGTACTTTGCTTTAACATGCACTTTGAACTAACCCTGTAAATTGCTCAGTAAACTAGTAGTGATGACGGAAGATAGGTGTTTTGGGATAAACAATTAGAATTTCTCAAAAACTACTTGACCAATCTACTCCAATTTTGTTGTGGTTATTTAGAAGTACGAATCCTATGAATTTGAAGAATTTGAAATATCTGCGAGGAACCATCGTCGCATTACCAACAAGTGCCAAAACCAGCCTTTTTTGCTATTAGTCCGATCTGTTTACGTGTGGTCTCATTTTGTAGGTCTCATAAATATCTAAAAATCTTATATCAAGAGATTTTTTTCGTTTCTGCTAACACTTTTGATTGCATCTCATAAAACACCTTTTCCCATTCTTTGTTGTCGAATGAAAAGTTTTACCACAAAAATTGGTGTAGCCATTTTATGCGTCCATGTTTTGAACAACTTGTAGCAATAAAACAAGACTTCACAATTATTTCGCCAATCAGGGGGTATTCTCGTCTACTACGACTACTATGTTTTTTATCCTGCCTGCGGAAAGAGCAACAAAATCACGATAAGAAAGTAGCTCGTCCATGACATTCAAGGTCGTCTCGAGTTCGTCTTGACCAAGATAATTTCCTAACGTAACAACTACCGCTCTTTCTGAAATGTTACAGTTTCATTTACGATGTCAAGCTCACATCTAAATGACCCTGAAGGTCACAGTCATGGTCCAGGACAGCATTAGGTGTTATCTCAAAGGCCTGCAACTTTTGTCATAGCAACAATTACTACGCCAACAGCGAGAGAGTATTGTAATTGCATATTGCATTTGGTTGTCCACAGCGACTTTTTTCTGAAACAGTTCTTTCTGTTGTGTTCTAAAAATAGATGACACAAATTTCAAGCAATGGCGTGCTATCAGGTTTTGCTGCAGACGTGGTCACAGTGCAACGAAAGATCCCAGGTTTTTCGGTGGTTTAAGGCATCTTCAGAGTCGATGAATCACGAAACGGTACGGCCTCCATCTTCAAGAACCGTGAAAATATAGACAGGGCCCGGAATCCTGTGCACTTAGATTGTCGGTTGACAGAATGATCGGGAAAGAGTTAAATTTGACTCACACCACCACAGTAAAAGCATACCCGTGGCTCCTTATTTGCCTCACTTGACCTTTGTGAATTTTTTCTTTTACCGAAGTTAAGAAATGAGATCAACGGAACTCATTTTGAGACAATCGAAAACATTCAAATGGCTGTAACCGATCTGCTGAAGGCTATTCCAGTGTGTGAGTTCCAGCACTGCTATGAGGGGTGCAAGAACCGTCTCCAGCACAGTCTAGCTTCAGAAAGAAGATATTTTGAGGGTGAAGATATAAAATCACAAAAAAAATTAACCCATTTTCATCGCCCTGTCGGTCTGTCCGCTAATCGTTAGCACGTCTATAACTTGTGAAAACACTCGGATTCTGTTGAAATTTTTATACAAGTTTGCTATACTAAGAACAAAACAGCTTTGTACTTCTTGAAAATGTCAGGTGGCGGCGGAGCTACGGGCGAAAAACAGAAAATAAATGCAAATTGCTCAGACTTCGCTTTTTGAAACATCAGAGGCTCTTGATCGTTTTCGAAAAAACATTTGTAGTACTCAAGATTTGGATCTTGAGGTTGTAGAGGGTGGGGGAGGGTGTATCAAAATTCTTAGACGTCATTATATTTATACGTTTCCAACCCCGCTAATTTTAGGCACATATAATATACTAAGTGACATATAAATCCGAACACCCAGTTTAAATGGTTTTATTTTAATAAAAGTTGGTGAATGTATTTATCTTACTGTAAATAACAAGTAAAAAATTTTCAGCCTTATCAGTTGGACATTCCGGTTTTTATACTGCTTTTTTTTAATTCACTAACGCTCTAAAAATGAATATTTCAGCCGCAGTAAAGAATCAACGTTGGCGGATTTTGGTTCTTGACATCCTTTACGATCGGTTACGATGCCTAGAGTACGGAGACCTGTACGATTTCGTCAACTTAGTGAGTTTGACAGGGGCCGTATAGTGGGACTTCGGGAAGCTGGACTTTCTTTTCGGGCAATTGCAGTTAGAGTGCAAAGAAGTGTAGACACTGTGGTTAGGTGTTGTCAGGCATGGCTTCGAGAAGGCCGTACGCAAAGAGCAAGGGGCACTGGACGCCACCGTAGAACAACAGACCGTGAAGATCGCCGCCTAAGATTATTGGCCTTAAGGGACCGTTTCTCCACTACCAGGTCCATTGCAAATGAATGGTTTGCAGAACACGGAAGACCTATTGGCATGCGAAGTGTTTACCGACGAATGAGAAGTTTTGGCTTGTTTTCATACCGGCCACACTGGGTCCTCCTTTAACTCGAGAACACCGACGTAATCGCCTTGAGTGGTGCAGACAACGGTCACACTAGTGTCGAGTCTCGATTTTGTTTAGGCATGCACGATGGTCGTGCCAGGGTTAGAAGGCGACGTGGTGAAAGGAGGAATCCACAGTTTTTTGTTGAAAGACATGTTCATCACACTGTTGGAGTTATGGTTTGGGGTGCTATAGCTTATGGTTCCAGGTCACCTTTAATCTTCATCAGAGGTAACATGGACGCGCAGCCTTATATCCACGAAGTTCTAGAACCCCATCTTTTACCCTATCTTGACACCCTGGCAGATCCAACTTCCCAACAAGATAATGCCCGACCACATGTTGCAAGAGTCACAATAGACTTCTTTCAACATAATGATGTCACATTGTTACCATGGCCACCAAGATATCCCGACTTATCCCCAATTGAGCACGTGTGGGATATGACGGGTAGGAGATTGCTCAATTTGCAACGTCCTCCTCAGACTTTAGAGGAGTTGGTGGTTGGCTGGAATGAGATACCACGGGAGGACATTGACCACCTGATCAGAAGCATGCCTAGGTGCTTTGGAGAATGCGTAGCATGTCAGGGTGCATCCACACATTGTTAAAGGTCAAAGGGCTTTAAAGCAGTGCAATCATTTTGAAATTTTTATCATTTACTTATTATGCTTCACTAAGTATTTATACAAAGTTTTACTAAAATAAAACCATTTAAACTGGGTGTTCGGACTTATATGTCACGCAGTATACATATTTCACAAACATATCTCCTCGCGCCTCCGCATTGTCACTAGAGATATACAGGAAAAGCTAAAGGGTATGGCTCACTCCTAATAGGTCCCAATCCAATTTGTCTGATATTTTAGTATGTTGTTTAAGCTTAATACATTTGAAAAAGATATGAACTCACCACAGACACCATAATGACCTGCTGATTCCTTTCGCTATTAATTAATAACTTAGCAACTTCTAAAATGTCGATTTGCCCCATCTACTGGATATTTGCAGATTTTAAGGGACATTTCTTACACATTTCACGATCGTATCAAATCATTTCAATTCTCTCAAGGTAAGTCTCTGTCAAATAGCCACATGATGTGGTCTGCACCATTTTGATTGGAAGTTTCTATGGACAGAAGGTTTGAATACCAATGGTTGCCGAGTTTCAGAGTGCTCACGACATCTAAGTATGAACGTAATATAGTCCTTGGTCAAATTGGCTGAAAGATTAGTATGTCGCCATACATTGTTGATCACATGATGTTTGGTATCAATAACTTCTGGGTTACATGGTGCGCAAGTGTAGCAGGTTCAAAAAAATGGTTTCATTAAAGACGAGATCGACCATACGGTCCCTTTCCACGTTAACAACAAAAGTATAAATATCTATAGAGAGATGTGGCTGGAGAAAAAACAAACTCAAATCGAGTAATTACTTGGTCAGCATGGCCTGCATAATGCACACGCACAAAAACAACAGAAGTTGAGGGGAGCCGAGAACTCGCTCGTGCACTGAACTACACAGCGACTATAATAAGTTAATAAATAACCCGATAGAGCGAGAAGTATGTACCAAATATATAGCGAAACATGATACACCTAACCGCAAATGAACGTGAACCTAGCACAACTAATTTAAAAAGCCAAACTGGAAGTGTCGTTAATGGACGAAAGTGGAGAAAACGTCAGGGCTAGTCGGAATTTACCTAGGTATATTAAAACTTATAAACACAATATAATGGAATAGACATACTACTGCAGCTCTTAAATGAAATATATCAAGCAGGAGAGCTGCCAAAATACTGACTCAAATCGATTTTCTACCAATTTCAAGAAAAAATCTAACGGCATTAAACGCAGTTCGGACTAGTAGGTCTGGTGAGCTTAACCCTAAAGTGGTTTCCATAAGTCTGAAGTATCTAAAGCCAAGTATATAAGTCTGTTTCTTAATCACATGCGAATATTTAAAGGTGTGGATCTACATGAAAAATTAATGTTAGTTTGCTTTATAAACTATGGCCCAAAAATGTTTCCTTACAAAAACTCGGGGTGTGGAAGTTTTAGGAAAAAAATGGAAATTAATAAATATTTTCAGAACCGCTTCAGATATTTCACTGATATTAAGTATGTTGTGGAAGTTAATAAAGTTGCATACTTTTCAATGCAAAAATAATTTTTAGCTTTAACAGTGGCGTGCATACGGGTATTGACTTTCATATTTTTTAAGAAAAAAATGGTACGCCAATGGTTTTTTGCCAAATAAAATTATTTTTGAATTCCCCGTTCAATTTAAAACAAATGATCTTTCCTGAATTGTTTTCCTTCGATGCGCCATTATTGAGTAAAAAAATAAAACCGTTCTGTTGTTCGATATAATTAATAGATAATTGAAGAATGCAATTTAGCAATAAATATCTAGTTGCTCTGGAATATGCCACTGGCCTTTGACATATGACAAGATAGTCGAACCTTTTCTAATATTCATCGTCGTCTTGTTGAAACTGGTTCTGTCCGAAAAGGACGATCTGAAGATAGGCCTCTATGTGTGAGAACACCTGAAATTGGGAAAGCAATGCTGCACGAAGTCGAAAAACATCCTGAAACGAGTAAGAAGAAGATCGCTAGACACTTAACTATTTGCCAGCTAATTGTTTGGCGAATTTTAGTGGATTTTTTGTTATATCCTGACCATATTTTGAGAGTACAGGTATTACTTCCCATTGATTTTCCAAGGCGTGTGACCTTTTCTCAGTGGTATCATCAAAAAATTACATAAAATCCGCAACTTGAATCAATGATTCCTTTCACCAATTTTCGGTTTACTTATGGGCAGGAATTATTGGCAATCACTTTATTGGCCCATTCTTGTTGCCGGGACGACTTGACGGACAGGCTTACCTCAATTTTCTTCAGCAACAGTTGCCTTTGATGCTTGATGATGCTCCATTAGTAATAAGAAACAATGTGTGGTACATGCATGATGGTGCACCAGCGCATTTCAGTGTAGCGACTCGTAACTATTTACAAACTGTTTATCCAAAACGTTGAATTGGCCGCGGTGGGCAGAATGGCCACCAAGGTCCCCAGACCTCAACAGTTTAGATTTCTTTTTGTGGGGCTAACTTAAGACACTAGTGTACATAAGTCCCATTAACACTGTAGAGGAATTAAGAGAAAAAAGAGCTTGTGATAGAATAGAAAACACTCCAGGGATATTTCAACGACTGCGCAATTCCATGAGAAGGAGGGCGGAAGCATGCATACTAAGTGAAGGGGGCCATTTTCAACAATTTTTGTAATCATTTCGATGGTTTTAATGTTATGTTTATGTTGTCAGTTGTTGTTGTTCATTACCCCTAATGTGTTTAATTTTTCCAAGTTAGACAATAGAACGGTTTATATTTGTTTACTCAAAAATGGCGCATCTAAGGAAAAAAATTCAAGAGAAATCATTTGCTTTAAATTGAACGATGAATTCACAAATAATTTTATTTGACAAAAGACCGTTGGCGTACCATTTTTTTCTTGAAGAATATCGATGTCAATTCCCGTACGCACGCCACTGTTAAAGCTAAAAATTATTTTTGCTTTGAAAAATATGCAACTTTATTAACCTCCTAAACATCAGTGAAATATCTAAAGCGGTTCTGAAAATATTAGTTAATTTCCATTTTTTTTTCCTAAAACTTCAACACTTCGAGGAACACCCTGTATATTATGTTCCGCCCTCGTCTCGTGAATATGGTAGGTGTGATACCCCGTTTCCCAGCTAAACTCACGAGTTCAAAGCGCGCACCCTGCGAAGAAAGGCGGCTCACCGCGCCGTCCCACTTTCCTCTTCTCGGGCCCCTGGCCTACAAATTCTCATTCCTTGTTCTCGTACCGCAGGCTAAACATCGCGCTCGATTTCGCCCACAGATTCTTACGTTTTAAGCAGTGTCGAAGTGCCCACACATAAGTACAAAGTATTAACTGCTTCTCATACAGGATTACCTGAACACAAATGTTGCACAACTGGAGCGAAGGTTGTCCGATAAACGTGCATTATCGGAGGAGCGCTGGCGGAAGGTCACCTTCAGGGTTCCTTTTGTCGCGGAGAAGAGTCCGAAAGTGGCGAGCCCCTTTTTCTGAAGGGGCGCCACCATCAGGTAATAGGTCTGTTTTAGGTGCAAGCTTATGTGTATGAAGTTACTTGAATGTTAGTATGGAAGCGTCCCGGCATTGCAGACTGTGCCTGATACGACGTTTGAATGTTTTGGGATAACTCAATACCAAGGACGAACGAAGACGTTTGGGAGAACGTTGAAGCGTTGGACTCGGTTGCTTGGGATAGCAAAGTAGACCTGGCTCCACACCATTGTCGCACGCAGGAACATTCGCTGGGTAGGACAAACGTCTCGGTGGTTTTTGGTCACCCGAGATTTGTAAAGAGAGATCTTACTGCCCTCACGTCAAATATAAAATCTGGGAGTAATACTGATACAGATAAGCTTTTGCGTCAGTGGGACGTGGAAACGGAGTAGGCTCTCCACCTGCCATCGTCCTGATTTTGGTTCATGTGTTCAGTGTCCCTGAAATTACACTTCCAGAAGTAACCCAGAGATCTGGTGGAAGGAACCAGGACTCCGCTGCCACGAATTCTGTCATTCCGATCGACATCTACATACAACACATCATATGATTGTGGGCTTGGATTACAGTAGGACCAATATATGATCGTTTGATTTGCTATTAGTCAGATATCAGTCTTTTACCCAAAGTGCTACCAATGATGCAGGCATGAGATGGTTTTTGAAGGGCCTTTACAGGCTAAAGCCATCTCAACCTATCGTTCTCTATTGCACAGCGTTAGTAGTATGTCATTGCAACTCACTTTGAACATCTACAAGTAGTATTTACGAGGCGATACCGGAACAGAATTGTATGATCAAACGAACTAACCTGCAAGTGATGTTCGATCCTAATTATCTGAAGGTCTCGTCGTAGTAAATAGCTCCCTTCCTCCCGATGTATCACCCAATTGTTGTCACAACTTGGCTTTGAAGAAAGGTAAGGTAAGTTCGTTTGATCATGCATTTATGTTCTGGTCTCGTCTCGAAAATACTACTTGTTGATGTTCAAAGCGACTTGCAACAACATGCTACTAAGTCTCTGCAATAGCAAACTATAGGTCGTATAGAACTACACAATTCTCTTTGATAAAATGACTCACACCTGGTAATTGTGCGATCTTGCAACCTTATAAGGTTCCCAAGGTCTACCGCAATAATAAGACCTTCGCATGGCTTATTACATTCAAGGAGTTTTAATATCCTTGCATTCCATTACTGTTGAAAGGATTAAAACCGGTTGTAACTAGGACGCCAAGTTTTGGAGTCGTAACTAATACCATATCCGTGAAAAATGAGGAAGTGGGAGTATAAAGACGTTGCAGCTGATTATATCGCTGGAAGTTATAATGACATAAACGGCCCCAAGAAGTTCTACTTTAAAGCAGACGTGAAGCGAGTATTATTGAGACGGTTACCCTCAAGGTGGTTGGTTGCTTTAATAATGCTACTTTATGTTTTATAGAGTTTATTAAAAAATTTGCGAATTTTTCTCGGTCCAATTATTTGAATCACATTTCCATACTTCCTTGGAAAATATCAAAGCGACCGAGTTGTTCAAATTACGTACATTGCACATTGCATTTGCAGAAAAATTTTTTTTTTGTAAATATTATCTGATAACTTTCACACCTCATTTTTTTATCACGTCTTGGATGTCTCATGACATGTAGGCAACGATACCGTGTTGATATTTCAAAAAAAATTTCAAGATTGCTTAAAAAATGAACGAGATCATATGGAAATACGATGAAAAAATCTATATCTATTCTTCCACCACCCCCCCCCCCCAGTCGCTCTACCCACTTACCAAGGCCAAGGTGTCTAGCATCTCGCAGTATTCAGCCTGGTTGTCAGATTGTTAAAACAAGCAAATTTCAGAAACCATAACATTTTTCGGAATTTGGATATGTTATAAGTTACATTGACAACTTGTGACACTGGAATTAGACGGAGAGATGCGGAAATTGTGACTTCCTAATAAATATAAATATTTTATATCTGGACCTGCTTATACTCGTATTTATAATGTACTGTGACCATTATGAAGCGGTTTGTTAGAAAAACCAGTACTCCACGTGAACATTTTATAATACTTGGCTATAGCAGTGGTAATGATACAGGGTGTTTTCAAAGTCATTTATTTTAACAGCTTGATCTGGTCGAGGGACTCAGGACTCCGCTCCCAGTAATTATGTCATTCCGATCAGCATATGCAGTGCATCATATGATTGTGGTCTTGGATTACGGTAGAACCTTGGTCGGGAAGAAATACATGCCTGTTTTTCTACCTTGAAATTTATTACCTTACAGTTTGATAAGAGATCAAGATAATTATAATCGTTTGATTTGCTACTACTCTTTTACCCAAAATGCTACTAACGGTGCAGGCATTAGATGGCTTTTGAAGGGCGTTTAC